CGTTACCGCGTGACTCGTGACACAGTAGCGAGAATTGTAAATTGATATTTGTATGATTAATATTGTCTGTTGTCATGCAGCGAGAAATATTTGGACTAATATATGTACCAACATTTTAAAAGCATACGTAAGGGAGATTGTGCAAAGTCGTTTATCGGTGCATCTACCTCACATTATTATCATTTACTGCCGTGGGAGTTGATTTGCGATCAAATGGTACTTTTTTTTAAGTTTTCCTTATATTGTCCTTACACCCGTATGTATGTATATATGTATACTTATACCCCTGATACTCTTCATGTGTGAATTTACTGGATACAGAGGAATAACACCTGAGTCCTCAGGAATGGCAACGCATGGGTGGTATCATGGGTGAAACTGTATACTCTGTTATGTCCATGGTACTGCTCATGTCTATAGGCGACGGTTACCACTTTCCATCAGGTGGGCCGTCAGCGTGTTTGCCATTTTAAGTTGTACAAAAAAAAATGTGTTGCTAATCCTGTCATTAATTTTATTAAGTATACCGAATAGGGATTTTTAGTAATAGGGTATATTATTTAGTAAGTGCAATAGTAATGGATTTTGATTTTTTAATGGATAATAATAGAATGGTAACCCCGCCTGTACTATTGGTATGCGCTGATGGGGCACTAGTGCAATGGCAGGTGAGGATAAATGAAAGCAGATCGGTTGACGAATTCCGCAAGAATTAACCATGTTGGATTCCAGAGATAATCACATGGAGGTCGATCTAGTTAGGAATATTGATAGCAATGAGGCTTTTAGATCCCAATTCCTAACAATCTCTTTCCCTTAACGATCTTATTGTTAGAAATAAACTTTACCAGGTTGACCTCCACGTGATTCCCCTGGAAACGTTTTTTCTTGGTGAATTCATCACAGTGTGCTAACTGGTCTAACGCCCCTTATTGGTACCACGTTAACAAAACTTGCAGGCCGGTTTAAAACCTAAATCCGATAATTATGAACTTAAAACAATAGCTAATTCCATACAGCCGTTCTCTAGTAATAGATACGCTTACTAATAGATAAAAATTGAACATAACACCACAGATAATACCATAAGAATACAGTTATAATTTTTTTTCACTCAAGTTTTACTCGAGGGTTTACTCCCGCGTTTTAAATTAGTTTGTGATCATTGAAGTTGTTTATGATTTTTGCATTCGCAATACAAAAAACTGTTTGTTGCGAAGTCAAACGTACTCGCGTTCTAAATTCAAATATTTTCAATCTATGTCTAATGTATCTATAAGGCACTTGGACAAGTTCATAACTATGTTTTATTGTTGTTACGATATTGATGTTGTTTTTTTTTTTGCGGAGCAATGTACTTGTTATTTATATCCTACTAGCTTCTTCCCGCGACTTCTTCAGCATGATTGGAAGATGTACAGGGACTGGAATAAAAAGTAGTCTGTAACCTTCTCCATTTCATATAAATTTGGTATACATACCAAATTTCGTAGTAATTGATTAAGTCGTTACGCCGGTAAAAAGTAGCCAACAAACAGACTCGCTTTTGGGGGGAAGAGATGTTTAGTAATGTGGACTTGCAGCCCCATAGCTAGCAATATATTGCTAGCTAAAGGGGAACTGCGTGGCGGTCAGATCGACCTCCACATTATGTAGATCCCCATGTAAACCATCGTGATTAATTCTTGGCAAATTCGTCACGATAGGTCACCTGACCAGTTTTTATCCTCACGTGTCATCTCTCACTAGTGTCCCGCCAGCGATAACACAGGCGGGATTTTTTTAATGGCATAAAATTGAAGGTGAAAATGGCATGGTAACTCCGCTGCGCTATCTATCGGTATACACTGGCGGGATACCAGTGAGAGGTGATTGGTGAGGATGAAAAGACAGGTCAGTTAGCCCATCGTGAAGAATTCAACGATAAACTAGTCAAGATAGTTGCCAGGGGAACCGCGTGGAGGTCGACCTGATAGGGTATATTGATAACAATGGGAACTAACCTTCCTATTACTAACAATCCCTTCCCCTCACATAGACAGGATTACCATTCCATTATCATTTATAAAAAAATAAAAAACAATCACTCTTTCACATAATTTATAATGTTAGTAAATATAATATCAAAGTTTATAAAGTTAGATGTATGGATAGATGTTTGTTACTCTTTTACGCAAAAACTACTAAACGCATTTAAATGAAATTTAGAACACAGGTAGGTTCTATTCTAACTTAGCACATAAAATGCTTTATGTAATAATTTACACGAGCGAAGCCGCGAAATACAGTTAGTATATAATACGTATTAGAGAAACTGAGGATTAGTAAAGAAAAATAAATAAATATATATAATAAGTTAAAGCAAATTATTCGCGCAGTACAAATTGAGATAATTCATCAAAGCCATTTATGATCGTCAAATCGTGTTAACAAATGTACGGGTTTTTACTCACTACAAGGAATTAATTTACGTCAACAACGTATTTTCCTTCTATATTCTTAATTTACATGTTTTTTATTGTTTTTCCCCAAAAAATAATCAAATCACGACTTATTCGAATCGGTAATGATAAGCCTGATGACTAACATGTACAATTTACTTGTGTCATCATATTTTATAATATTTTTTTAAAGCCATTAAAAATAAATGATTGTGCTATAATCATTTATATCCTCTTTCATGTTCGATAGAATTGTCTATAACTGGAGTGCTCAACCATAGACAATAAGCATGGAGTATAGACGGGAACATTATAATAGACAATATCAAAGAATATTAATTTCTATTTCCAACTTTTTTTTATGTAACTTAGAATGGCAAACAAGCTGTCGGTCCACCTAATGGAAAGTGATAACCGTCGCCTATAGATATGAACAGTACCATGGACATAACAAAGTATTTTAGTTTTGCTCATGATACCCCCTATGCATTGCCATGTCTGAGGACTAAGGCCTCTGTACCCTGTAAATTTACTACCATGTCGCACACTTCAAATTAAAACACAGCCATGCGAACACAAGTGCTTCACGGTTGAAACACGAATAGGACAGAGGTAGCCAAGCAAACGACTTTTGTACGAGGTTTCTCTCTAATTTCATGGTAATCATTTATAAATGATATACATGTGAAACATTTCCTTTATTTATTTATTAAAATAATTATAACATCATAGTAAAAACTAAATCAATGTTGTAACTAAATTAAATTAAATAAATTATTAAATATTCGGAATATAGCTATGTAATTACTAATCAAATTTAGCAACTAAAATTCCAATTAAAGCTGTACGAAGCACAATTCTTTGCCTTATCTTTAATTAAATAAAAAAAAAAAGAAACCGTTATTTCTCTATTTACCTTTTTGGTCACACCAAAGTTGAAATGTAATACAAATTGCGTACGAACAACCAAAACCCACACATAACGAAGCGAACAGACACCGGAGCAGTTTTTATTGAGTTTACTCCAACACGGACATGGTATATGTGCTCTTATTAGATCATTCACTCATTATAATGTCAAAACCGGAGATAAAACCAGATGACGACATTAGAAATAAGTTTGCCACATTCAATGCATAACGTTTGGCGGGAACGTAGCTGTCAATTGCTCGTTATTTATGAAAGTTGAAATTAAAAAAAAATGTAGATTTTTGTCAATGGTATTCAATATTTTTTTTATTATTATTATTGTTATTTCAGCCATTAATTGTGTCAGTACTGAACATAAGCCTTCCCCATAAGGAGAATTTTGCCAGTAGTTGCCACGCTTGGCAGGCGGGTTGACAACCACAGTTAGGCTTTTACAGATGTTTTAAGAGGGATGCTGCTGCGCATCTCTTCTCCATAAGCTCCCTTAGTCGCCTCTTACGACACTCATGGGAAAGGAAGGGGTGGTCCATTCTATAGCAGGACTTAGACGGCGAAATATAAATACGAGTACTTATTAATATAATAAAATTGGAACTAGACAATATCTATACATGGGACTACTATTATGAGACTATTAGTCTTATCTGTCATATTATCATGTATAATTTATATATATATGTATGTATATATATATATATATATATATATATATAAGATATTATAAAAGAGATAATATTAATTATGTGCGTAAATAAATAAATTAAATAAAAAATTACGTTTTAATAGGAGCTATGGAAACCAAAACAATATTTTTTTTTAAATTTTGTCTGTACAAATTATGTATGTTTATTCCGGTATCATACAAAAACTACTGTATACAACATAAACAAACAAGCTGACTTTCACATTAAAAATATTTGCAAGGATAATACAGTTCATCATTTCAACCTCATCCATTATTGGATATAGGCCTTCCCAAATGCTTACCACCTTGTACGATCCTCCGCTTTTCACCTCTATCCATAATAACATAATTGAATGTTCTAAATTCAAAATTTAAATTAAAACATTCAACTCCTTACTAGAGTTCGTTAGAGAGTCATTGTGACCCGAGAGCGGCGAAGGCCGACCCGCCGTATTAGTTTTTAATAAGTAATTGTACACTAAACCACGTTACCAATTTCGTCATGAATACACGTTATTTTTTTTTTTCTCTCGCCTCGCTTCGAGCAATCTCGTTTTCTCGAAAATAGATCTAATATGTTGAATATAATTAATTTTATACCGACTCAGTTGATCGATGCGTGTTACTTTGCGTTCCTTTTTTAAGTATCATTATTTTTAAATTACAGTGTATTACGTCAATTCGTCTAGAAAACGGAAGGTTTTTATTTTCGCGTTCTAAATCATTTTACGCGAATTTCGCATGTTCGATGAATTTTTAAGGTGTAATTTTGAGTGTCCGTGTTTCTACTTTATAAGCTGCCATTTTATTTTTAAGTAATTGTGATTTAATAATACGGAATAGATACAACTAGATTATAATATTATGTAGTACACTTATCTGTAATTTCCGAATTTTGACTACAACCTGTTTTGATATTAACATTCGTTTTTTGCTTGTTCCAGATGTTACTACACTTGGCTGATCTCGAAGACTGATTAAAATGTTTAAGAAGACTACAAGGAAATGATCGATTAATGAATATCCCCAGGTAAGAATAATCGATTAATCAATAATACAATTTATATTTTGTAAAACAATAAAGAGAAAATTTAAATTCAAAACATTCCACAGCATTCAGCTAATCTTACTGTCAACAAAAGACTATTGTTTCTTCTCGATACATTGTTTCGATTTAAATCGAAATAAAAATGAATCACTGTTATGATTCGACACTAAAATGTATTCAATTAAATGTGATTGTTTATACAAAACTTGAATATTCGTATTGTTTACAGGACGGACTCGTTACAAGTCCTCGTGGGAGTACAAACAGTGCGATGACTACTGCGATGGCAGCTCACCAGGACTCTATACATGAGAGACTACAACCGGCGCCCGAAGAACCCCTCTACCTTCACCATGGCACGGCATCTTGGCCTGAACCATCCGACCACCAAGAGGAACATAGCACAGATATGTCCCCATACTACAATATGCCTAAACGGAACAAGAGAAAGAATTTTAAGCCAAGATGTGCACCTAATGCTACCGCGTACTCTGACGACTCAAACGGTGAAAACTGTGATGAGTCAGCTAGTCCAATTAACGGTAATGATAGAACATCGCCAGAACAAAGAGTTGACGATGAGAAAGAAGAGGAATATTCTAAAATCGGAGTAAAGAACTTTAGTCTTCTCAAAGGAGGTGCTGTTGATCTCAGTAGAAGGTTAAGCATCGATTCCAATGAGAATATAGATACAAATTACCAAAATAGGTTACCTGATGAAAAGAAGGTCGATTCCTTTCAGCGTTCTTATATACATAGTTTACAAATCAATCAAGAAGCTGAGAGAGATCAAACTGTATTAAATTTTAGTAGTCTACAAAATAAAACGTTCTGTGCCAAAAACCCTTTTGCTATATCACAATTAATTAAGACTAATTCGCCCCCAAGAAGAAGGGAGTCTGAATCTGATGAGGATAAAGGTCAGGATATAAATGCTAATGATAGACTGGAAAACCAAGAGCCTATGGATGTTAGTGAAACGCAACAAAATGGTGATACATCAAATGCGACGAACAGAATCTTACGGGACTATGCCATGAATACAATGAAGGAATTATTGGGAATATATGGGTTATCTTCGAATGAAGTTGCTGATGCCATAAGTGGGCAGATTAGAGTATTGGAAGCACTTCAAGGTATGTACACTGAAATTTGTAGACTAATCCAAATTACAAAATAAACCTATTTTTGGGGAACGTTTAATATTTCTTTTATTTTTTGTTTCAGGAAAACCATTTGCCCAACTTCCTTTAAGCCTAAAAAGACGACACGAATCAAGTATGGAAGATGGAACAGAAAGAAGTATCAGAAGATCATCATCAGCAACAGATGATGAGGGTTCCACAAATATTACCCCACCTAAAAGTCCCGATGAAATGGAAGCTCAGAGGTAAGCTACAAAAAAAATAGAGTACCCAATTTGAAAAAGATAAGTAACTTCTTATGAATTTAAATGTTTAATTATTCTCAACTACCTAATTTCTATTACTCTGGTTGGAGATATATTAAGATATTATAAGTAAAATTTCAATTCAAAACTATTTTTGTTCTTGTTTTTCTTTTGTTATTGTTGTTTTTTTGCTGATAATTTTTTAGTTTTTTACCTATCGTGTTGCGCATTATATTATCCTAAATGTTAATTTATGATTTTGATGGACCGGGCGAGGTGATGAGGTGCTAATTGAAAATCAGCGTTTTTGCTTTTACACCACAACACTGACCGATATCAACTAGACTTTATATATAAATGTAAACCTTTTTTTTATTTTAAATTGTTCTTATTATTTGCAGTCTAAGTATATGTAAGTGTTGTGGGATTTTAAAATAAATCTTCATTCGTTCTTCATAATGTTTAATAGATTTTAAGTGATAATAATATTTTTTATCCCCAACAATGTTGACAGACAAAGAGCTCTACAAATTATTAACCAGCAGTCAATGCGGTTATTTGGCAGATCTCAAGCTCAAGAAGAAGAAGGCAGTGGTTCTGACGATGGAGACCAGACCCTTGACTTGAGCGTGTCAAGAGATACTGACGGACAGGTTAGGTTTAGTTGTTCTTGTTTTAAAATTCGTCTAAAATAAACAGGCAAAGAATATGATCCATACAGTCTAGTCATGAGTTATTATTTGTTCTTCATAAATAAAGGGACACTTATTTCATCCGTAACTTATGTTGATCTTAGTAGAAGTTTTAAGTTTCAGATTTTTCCGTTAAGAAGTTTCTCGGTGAGAGTTAGATTATAAAAAAATATAAAATAAAATAAAAGTAGTTAAGGTTTGCTATATTTAAAAAATAGAAAAGTCTAAACAAAATATTAAAATATGAAAATTTGTTTATTTTTTTACCAAATCATTAAAATATTTAATTACATATGTATGTAAAATTAAAGATTTTATATAATAATCTATTTATTTTTATATACCTATAGGAACAGTCAGCAACCTCGAGTGCAGGCAACAGTGTATCAGAATTTGATCAGCAAAACATGCTTATGAGAAAAAACCTGGAGGATTTAGCAAACTTACAAATGCAGGTCAGTTTATTTTATTTGCCGTGTGGTCCCGGTATAGAATGAGCCACCACTTCCTTTTCCGTGGGTGTCATAAGAGGCGACTATGGGAAATTAATGGTCGCGGAATGGGCAGCAGCGTTCCTCTTAAAATATCACCTAGGTCTATCTGCGGTTTCCAACCCGCCAGCCAAGCGTGGCAACTACTAGCAAAAGCCTCCTTATCGAAGAGGCTTATGTTCAGCAATGGCCAGTTTACGGCTGATATAATAATAATAAAATAAAAAAAAATTGATTTCTATGGATAAAAGAGTTTTTGAATCGGTTCAGTGTTTCCTTAGTGTCCTTTTCGAAGAATCACATCTTTCCTCTTTAAAACATTAGTTTGGACAATACAAATATGTTTTTGTTGACAGGGTTTCTTTCAAAAACAATCATCAATGGAAGCTGATGATTCACAAGAGAGAAAATTGCAGGCCAGTGGTAAGTTGTAACAATTATATAAACTATGTGAATAGAACTCGATGAAAATTTAGATGTATAATTGACCCAACCATTAGACACTGGAGAGGAAAGGGATTGTCAGTAATGCGGACTACCAGTCCCATTACTGGCAATAGACTGTCAGGTCGACCTCCACGGGGTCCTCTATGGAAACTATTGTGTTGAATTTCAGGTGTATTCGTCACGATGGGCTAACTGACCTGCCTTTCCATTCTCATCTATCATCTCTTACTGATGCCCCGCGAGCGTATACTGTTAGCGCAGGCGGGGTTACCATTCCATTATCATACATTATAAAAAAACATCAGACACTGCTGATGTCCAACAATAGTACAAATAAAGAATAGATTAACTGTTTGAATGTTTCGATTTCTCATTAATTTCAGACAGAAAGTGTTTCTATGATAATATCAACATTTACATTCTATCTTCTATCAATTTACCTTTTCGTGAATTTCTATTGCAACAAACTTTAGTATAGTTTGTACCAAATAAAACCAGAGACGTTTTACGAAAAAGGAATAATAAACTGTCTCTGCCCTATTGGTTTACGCAGATTACCAGAGTGGAATGATTCGTTATAATAAAATCAAATTCGTTGGCCCCACCACTACGAATTTATTATAATTAGAAATTAACCACTTAAAATTTCTACCAACCCTCGTATTATAGGAAAATGTTGATTTAAATTATATAATCCATTAGAACAATCTCCATCTATTAGTTCTTTTCTTCTTAATATTATGTCTACATACTTTAAACATCACTTATACAAAATTAACCAAAATTTTATGGAATTTAAAAATGAATGACCTTGCTTCTATTGGTTTAAAAATACTATAAAAATTATATAAAAAAAAATTATACACTGATAACTAACTAACCTAACTCAACATATAAGAAACCTGATGTAGTGATTAATACGGACAAATTCTCGTCAACTAGTCCAACATAATTTTATTCATTTAACATATTTTTTTAAAATATTCTCGATTTATAAATGGTGTTTTTACAAATTTGCTTAGTACAGATAAACGGAATACGCTTTAGTTCTTGCAAATTAACAGCAAGTTAGCTTTGAATTGTTAGAATTGTGCAAATTTATGAAAATAGGTCAGTGAGACGTCACCTAGAGTTTACGTTTTGCTAAATGTTTTCACCCGCTTCTTCAATTAGCAACTGCCAGTCATTTCAGCTTTGTGACAAATATCTAATACGTATGTTATCTATAGGATAAGATTTATTTATTTATTTAAAGAACACCAACAGCATATTGCATTATAACATATAGGTATAACAAACATTAAATATAATACAATATTAATGCACACACCTATTATAGGTATTCACAGCATTCACTTTAACATAGTTATACAGTGCGAGATAATGAAGTAACAATTATAATGAATTAAATAACACTAGACTAGTGTATATCCTCTAAATCTTGGAGAGATTCTTGTCCACCAGTGGGACGGTAATAGATTATTAAGATTATCTTGGATGCCTTTCATAATATTGGTCATATGATCGATACTCTTCAATTGTTTCCTTCCTTAATATAATAGCTTTAGTATAATTACAAATGCGCAGTAATAATGTTTTATATTAAAAAAATATATTATTAGTAGGTATTATAACATTAAAATTTAAACAGAATTCTACTCGTATGTATGAGTACATACATACATACATTTGTGTAAAATGTCTACTTTTGTGTCTGTCTACAATAATATTAAATACCTCCATGAATTACATTTTAGTTTATATAATAATAAATTATTTTTATTAACGCGTCTATTCTTTTAACAATATCAATGATCAGTTGAAACTATCAAGCATAACTTTAAATCATGTCTGTCTACATGTCACTATATTATTATAGTACTTACAGCTTTGGTGTTAACAAACATCTAACGGTTCTAATGACTTATTCGAAGGCAAACAAAATTTAAATAATGCAAGAGGATCGAACCGTACCGTAGAGTATAGATTTTCACAAAAATATCAATGGTACTTTACATGTTCCTGTCAAAACTGACATAGCACTAATTTATTCTGTGATCGGGTGTATAGAATGTTTTCTTTTTAATTAAAAATTCGAAACAAATATTTGATTTCTTGTACATTGAACTTTTGGAATAAATGAAGTGAGAAATTCGACATGACGGACTCCCACCAAAAGTTAATTAATGTATGAAACATACATATATTAATATTACACTACTTGAACAGATGCTTTTTGTGCAAGTTGTAATGGCAAACAAGCTGACGGTCTACTTGATAAAAAGTAATAGGTAACTTGCCAATAATTTAATGTACATAACAAAGTTAAAGGAGCAAACAGAGATAGTTGGTGTAGTTAGTTTTGATTGGTTTGTTAAATTAAAAGGGAAACTATACAAAAACATATGCACTAGTATAAAATATATATGTATGTATATAAATGAAGGAATATATACTAATAGATATAATTGAATTGAACTTTATATAAATATATACAAGATTATATTATACAAAAATAAATATATAAAACAGACGATGAAAAATATAAAAAAAAATATTAAACAGTAGAAGAAAGAAATTACCTAAAGGAGAATAAGTAAGTAGAGAATTAAGGTTTAGAGAGAGTTGATATAATGAGTACGTAGCTTTTGTTTGAAAGCGAATGGATGTATATATGACATGAACAATACCATGAACATAGAACACACTGTGGCCCGAATGGTCTAGTACTAACCCCAGAATCCGAGCAAAACTTCGCTAAGAGATGTCTGAAAGTACATAAACTACTTTTTTAATAGATTTATTTATTTATTTATTTAACTCTTTATTGTACCATAAATAAAAATATACAATGACAAGTGAATAATTTAAATGAAATACAGTAACATAAATACAGATTGATTGAAATATACACATAAAGGTACAAAAGGCGGTTTTATCGCTAGGGCAATCTCTTAAAGACAACCTTTACTTAAAGGAGAACAGATAGAAAAGGGCAGATAGATCAGGCCCATCTTGGAAAATAATCTTAAATACACCAATGACAAGGATTAATATGATATGCCTCCACATCAGAAATATATAAACTACATAAAGCTGTAGACAATATGAAAATTTTGAGAAATTATTAAACTTATCTGTACTTACGGATATATTTTTATTATTACGTATTATAGCAGTTAACTGTCCACTGCTGGACATAGGCCTCCCTATAAGAGGGATTTATCAGTAATTATCATGCTTGACAGGCAGGTTAGCAACCGCAGTTAGGCTTTGACGATGTTTTAAGAAAGATGCTGCTGTCCATCCTGCGACCAATAAATTTATTTAGTCTCCTTTTACAGGAAATAAAAGAGAGGCCTATTCTATGCAAGAACCATATATACTATTCATTATTCATTATATATTCTATACGGTTATAAATCAAGCGAAAATAAAATAAAATCCAAAAAAGATATAAACTGATTCAATAATTCATAGCTGAAAAATGAAATTTTATATCGGATTCTTTTTATATAGCTTACATGAGTCGTAAAAGTTATCTTTTATTTATTAAATTTAAACACAAATTTGGGAATCCCACTTTTTTTAGAACTTCTCTTAGTTTTTTAGAAAATGCAAGATAATGGCATTAATAAATTATGATAAAAATCTAGCACTTGCTGTTCACGTAACTTACTTAATCAGAGACAAACGTACAAACATCTACCTAAAGCCAGTCTAGATTTAGAGATAAACTAATGAATACTGTGTTCTTTTTCGATTTTCTTTTTCTGTATAGACAAATAGTTTTTAATGTAATGTTAATAAAATTTAAAATCGAAAAGCAACTTTGACTAAAATTATTTCAAGGCTCCGACTTTCATAAATGCCTTTTAAGTATGTTCATGTAATAATTAAGTGAAACCGCGGTTCAGCTTTGTAACCTCGACAATTGAATAGTAGGTTCGATTCCGAGATTGTCCCTAATAGGAAATTGCAAGTTGTATGTGTATAATTACAACGCTGTTCTGAAAGTAAATTTAATTTGAATAGTATATATATCTTTGGTATGGTATCGTGAATTATATTCATTGGATTTTATTGTAGTGACTTAGGATATTTATTGAACTCATCCACTAATTTTACTTACAGAAAGATTCTGATGAATCTAGCAGTTAAAGGACCAAAAGAAAGAAGTAATTAGCAAACGATAATAGCATTTAAATAGAATTTAATATTATATATTATATACTGTTCATAATTACTCTTCTCCATTCATAGGTTGCCTGGAAGAGATCGCTCTTAGCGGTAAGGCCGCCTATTGTTTTCTTAGTGTAATATTTTTCTTGTAATTGTTTGTATTTATAATAAGTTTACTATTGTAAGCTTATGGAGGAAACAATAAAGAGTATCTATCTACATTTATCTATATATTTAGTAGACTTAGAAAGAGTAAAAAAAAGGAAAGCTTAACTAAAACTTTAAATTTTTTTTATAGATGCAATCTATAAAGGATTTTAATGTTAATCTGACATAAAATTTGTTGGCGTAGTTTAAAAGAGACGGCGGAATAGCTCGCTACAATATATTGAGATATAAATTATCTGGCTCTCTCCCTATATTGCTACTCGTACGCCATAGCTGAACATTATAACATGTTTATTGTATGTAATGTATTATAATTTAATTTTTATTTGCATACCATTAGAGGCAAAACATATTTACGTCTAAAAATATATGCGATCAACACCTATGTAATTTATCTATGTTCTTGCAATTTTTGCAATTATTTGATTTCTAATGATTCAATAAAATATTGAACAGTAAAATTTATATGCCCCACAATATAACATACTGGTACTAATTTCTTGTTATCGTCATCATATCAGTGGTTAACTGCCGACTGCTGAACATATTTTTCACCCATTTCTTTTATACTGGCTAAAATCACAATCGTTATAAAGGAGTGTCCTAGCAGTAAAACAGAAAATAAT